TTCGGGTATCTTGCAAGCCCTAGTTAAGATGTTTTCAAGTTGAAACAGAAGCTCCCTATTTCTTATGTTTTAGTCCAACCTTTTAGTACTTTGTCCCTGTATGGTCTTTTCATCAGCCCGCCCCCCTCAACTTCCTTTCTCTAGGCCCCCGTAAGAATCCTTCTTCCGTGTTCCTATGTGACCCCTCCGCAAGGTCGGCTCTATTAATTACAGTTATGTGCTGTTTTTTCTATCCGGTGTTACTCGTGCGGTTAACTTACCGGACAAAGTCGGGAATTCTATGGTTGACTCTCAATCTTGATCTAGTATTAGTCCCGTAGGCTGCTTGGTTTCCGATAGAACGGTTCGACTCTGACACTCTTCTTCTTTCTCGGGCTGGACGACGCTTCTACCTTCGCCGTTTTCAAGCCTGTTCCGGGTCTCCTCTGAGTACACCGGTGCTACCCACACTGTCTGTTTCAGGGTGCGTAGCTCATTGCTCATGTCGTCACCCATCGTTTGTCCAACGTGATGACGATCTCTCCCATGTGCGTATCATTGGTCTGCCGTTCCAGATCAGTTGTACCAAAGTTAACACATGTGGTCGAGGGTTTGCATGAACTTTCTGCTGTTCGACGATGGGCTGGTTCTTCCATGCCCTCGTGCTTTCCGCCTCCTCGGCCACCTCTCCTTACCTCTACCGCTCATTCTTGCTACTAGGGTACTATTTCATTCGTTTTTTTGATTGACTAGCTCTTTAATTTAAGTTCTCGTCCGAACTTATTCGTCTTTGGCATGGGGCGATAACTTCAATTATACTCCTGCTAGGGGTGTTAAATCTATTTACTAAAGATCTTGCAAGAGACAGTAACAACTAAGAAGCTTAGAGCAACTAACATACTACTGAAAAAGTGGGTTCCTTGGCTTTTTTCTACTGGCATCAATCTTTAGCAGAGGTACAGGTGAATCCCTAATCGCGAACCCCAACAGAATAGCATGGCTCATCCACAGGCACTGGACAGGACTTCTCGTAGGTGGTCCATTCCAATCCACTTTTGGGACGTCATTTTTGAACCAGTCTGGGCTGTTCGGGGAAAGTTATGTCCCAGAAGTAGTATCCTCTGGGTCCCATACACCGTGATTCCGTGTTGCCTGTTACTGGAATACCCTGAAGTGGGAGGTTCCACGGTGCCACTCCAACAGCTTCCTCTACAGCTTCTTCTTCTCCCCCTTCCTGGGTTGGGATTGATCCAAGAGATGCCAGGGCGACAGTTTCACAGAAAAGTTGCTTGGGGGTGGGTGCAGTGTAGGATGGAAGCATGTTCTTTGAAACCATTGGTGTTGAAACATTGTACACAAAACTGGACAGACCTGACTCTGTAGGTGTTTGCTTGCCAATCAAATCCGTGCTCAACCGTCCAAGTTATTGCGGTTTGTTTGCTCAACCATCCAAGTTGATTCGCCTCCGTATGCCGGTTTGCAAGTTATACCGTTTGCTTGCTCAACTTGTAACAAATCCGGGCTCAACCCCAATAAACGCGAAGCTCCTTCCATCCCAAGTGGGTCAACTTGGTATCCGCATCGGACTTCCAAAAATATCCTGCATCCCAATATCATGCATCCCAAGTGGATCAGGGACGGCCAAATGGTCATAGACATCTAAGGACCCTGGCGCTAATTGTCTAGAGCCCCATACAGTACTTTGCGTGGAGCCACTTAAGCTATCTGTGTCTTGGTGATCGACTCTTGTTAGTTGGAATATCTTGACTCGTCTTCGGCCGATCTACCTCTCTTCTCCCCCTTTGTGTTGAGAGAGTATGGATGCGAACGAGTGAATGTGGCCTGGTAATGACTGCCGTGCCGTCCGTGAGAACTTGGAACTCCTTTCGCCTATACGCGAGCCTTTTTTGAGATTTGGGGGTCTGCGGCTGTCGCAATGTTTGCGGCTATTGGCATTCGGTGGGGCTATCAATTTTTTGAAGTAGGACGGTGGAGCGACTTTTGCGTCCTTGTGTGATATTTATTTTCTTGAATTTTTTATGACTCTTGCGTGACTTCTGTGAAGATACCTTGTTTCATTTCGTTGGCTTCTTGACATTGGCTGCATTGGCCAAATCGTCTCATTCGCCAGTCTGGAGCTCTTGACATTCCAAGCGTCAACTCCTGATTCGCGATCCCTTAAGGGCCCATCTGCATCCCGCTCCTCCATTGCGCATCCGCTTGCTTCTGGCACTCGTTGCCCCCATCGTGCCTTGGCACAAGTGTATGCACGGCATTGCTGCAGTCATGAGAGCCAATTGTACGTCCGACGTTCCTCCCTACCAAGGCTCCTGGGCAGCCAAAATGCTTGACCAACAAGACGGAGTTTGTTGTCAATGCCGTTTTCCTCTTTCAGCAGAACAAACGAGGCAACGATGAAGGTTTCCTATTAGACTCGATGCATCTGGCATTATGCTGCTGCGGACATCCCAACCACAAGTTGCCGGATCGCAAAGTTCGTGACAAGATCCCAAAGCCCGAGTGGGCCATTAATAGTTCCAAGGTCTGAAGAACAAGTTCTGTGCGTTGACTTAATTTGACCCATCATGTTTCGTGATAGCCTGTACCCGTACTTAGTGTTCCCTTACCGAATCGATACTGCTGCTGTTTGCTCTATTATGTTATTACGCGGCGGAGCGTTGGCGCCGCAATGGAGTTTTCAGCTTATGCGTTCAGCTGTGTGTTTTCTCTGATGGGTATTCGTGGGTCAACTTGGGTATCCGCATCAGTACTTCCAAAAATATCCTGCATCGCATCACCCTGCATCCCAAGTGGATCAGGGACGCCAAATGTATTAGACAGTCTAGAGGGCCCCGGTTGGGGCGTCCGAATTAGTTGGTCTAGGAGCCCCCTTACAGTGGACTTTGTGGTGGATGCCACTTTAGCTGGTTTGCTTCTTCTGGTACTAAGACTTCTTGTTGGTGGTGGACTTGGTCTTGGTGGCCTTGTTGGTGGTGGACTTGGTCTTGGTGGCCGTGGTGGTGGGCGTGGATGACTTGGCCTTGGGCGTGGATGACTTGGCCGTGGCCGTGGATGACTTGGACTTCTTGTGGGCTATGGGGGCGGACTTCTTGTGGGCTATGGGGGCGGTCTTGCGGGTGGCGGCGGGGGCGGTGGCGGTGGCGGTGGAGGCGGCCGATGACTTCTTGCTGGGTGGGACTTCTGTGAAGATACCTTGTTTCATTTCGTTGGGCTTCTTGACATTGGCTGCATTGGCTGCATCGTTCATTTCCTTGGGCTTCTTGACATTGGCTGCATTGGCTGCATCGCGCTTCCTGGCATTGGTTGCATCGCGCTTTCTGGCACTGGTTGCATCTGCATTGGCATTGGTTGCATCGGCATTGGGCTTTGCAGGAACCATTCTGTCAGGAACGATGATTTCGATTTTATGAATGCGATTGCTGCTGCTGTTTGCTGCTATTATGTTTTTATGAATGCGATTGCTGCTGCTGTTTGCTGCTATTATGTTTTCGCTGGCTGGGAGCTGTTGGGTTTCGCTGGCTGGGAGCTGTTGGGTTTCGCTGCATGGGAGTGGTTTCGTTATGAGTTTCATGGGAGTGGTTTTCGTTATGAGTTTCGCTGTGAGTGGTTTTGCTATGATGGGGGTGGTTTTGCTATGATGGGTTTCGCTGTGAGTGGTTTCGCTGGGAGTGGTTCTGAGTGGTTTCGCTGGGAGTGGTTCTGAGTGGTTTCGCTGGGAGTGGTTTCGCTGGGAGTCTGAGTGGTTTCGCTGGGAATGGGAGTGGTTTCGCTGGGAGTGGGAATGGGCGTGGGTGTAGTAATCCATCTAGTCAAGTCTAATCTAGTCTCCTAGTGTACTGCAATCGGCAGCAAACAGTCTACTAAATAACAACAATCAGCAAACAGTCTATACTAAATAACTACAATCATAAATCTGCAAACATGAATGTCCAGGCTCAATTGGACGATCGTATATCTATTGGCGATTTGTCAATGGGTTTAATACACATGGATGTTCAAGCTATTGCAAATGAAGTCCTCCAGGATAATGAAAGCGAACACTTCCAACCCTTCCCTGTCTATCCCCTTACCGACGTCAAAAGACTTCTCCTTGCAATTGGCCTACCCAATGTTCTTGTTGTGACTCTTGTAGCCAACTACAACGTCTTCAATGTATTGTCGTTTGTTTTACTACCCTTGGAACTTCTCTGGACCAATTCCGCCACCTGGCTTTCACGAGACCCGCCGACGCCGGATCCAGCAAGAGACTCAGTTGAGATTACTGACCGGGAGCTTGTTTTGATGCTTTGCTTGTTTGTTTCTTTCGTTGACTCACACGGGAACGACAACACCCCCTGAAAGAACAGGCAAACAAAATGGTTTTAGATTTGGGTGTTTACAATCAGCCTCCTGGGCGGATCCGGGCGGTTATTGATATCCTCCACCAAAAGAAGCAAGAGATCAAACAGAACATGCGAACCCATTACTCACCTGATACATACACTCAATTCGATGCCTATGCACAATTTGTGGCCGCGCATCCAGAGAAGGAGGAACTCTATTTCATTCTGTTGCATGCCCAGCAGCGGCCAACTACCTTCTTGGCATTCCCACACAATCAGAATGTACGAAACCAGGTCGATGCATTCCTACTGGCCCGCAAGAAACTTTACCTGGACCTACTTGACCCGACCCAGGGACAACAGCGCGAAAACGATCGGCGAGCTGTCCAGGCAAAGTTCTTCCCTCCTCCAGCTTGGGAAATGGATGAAGAATGATTCAAATATAGTTAGTCCAGTCTGGTCGATCACAATCCCTTATAAAAAATAGACATTCTCACCTGATTAATCAATTAGCGCCTGATGCAATAAGCGCCTGAAGCAATAAAGATGAGGAAGAAGCAATAAAGATGAGGAAGACGTTGCAATGAAGCAATAGCAAAAGAGCAATAGACGTAGCAATGAAGATGAGAATAAGAATGAAGACGAGAATAAGAATGAAGATGAGAAGCAAAGTACCATGATACAAGAATAGAGGCAATAGGCAGGGCAGTCGTGGGACGAACGATGGGACGAACAATGGAGGATGGTGGGACGAACAATGGAGGATGGTGCTGGCGGAAAAAGGACTGGAAAAAGGACAGTGCGTTGTAGTGCTGGAAAAAGGACAGTGCGTTGTAGTCATGTTGGTGCTTTATTGTGAAGGACAGTGCGTTGTAGTCATGTTGGTGCTTTATTGTGAATGCTATGCAGTGCGTTTTCGAATTTCTTAGTGCTAAGTAATATGTGGGATGTGGACCAAAGATTGGCTGGAGCACTTGGCTGGAGCACTTCTTAATCTAATCACCGAACTAAGAGTCAGCCGGTTGGCAAATTTGCCAACCGGCTGACTCTTTCTCTCGAATTATTAAAGATTGGTTGGAGCACTTGCATATCACCGAACTAAAAGTCAGCCGGTTGGCAATTTGCCAACCGGCTGACTCTCTCTCTCACATTTTATTTAACACCCAAAAAACCATGGGAACTGTGGCCACTTTTTAGCAATTTTTGTGGGCTGTGTGAGTAACAAGAACGCAGTAACAAGAATGGCCACTCAGGTTGGTTGGTTGGTTGGCCACTCATAAGGACCACTCATAAGAACGACGGACGACTACAATCTACCACTAATAGTAAACGTGCGTACCCAACTTGCAATGGCTGGAGGTGCCCTTGAAAGAAGAATGGCGGAAGGTGCCCTATTAGCCCCCAGTCAAGAAGAAGAAGAAAAGATGATGATGCCGAAGAAGAAGATGATACGAAAGAAGAAGATGAAGATGAAGATGTAGATGATGGTTCCAGTGGTTCAAGAAGCTACGACGATTTGAATGATGAATCCTTGGAGGAGGAAGGGCAACAGGCAAGTGAGGACCGCGTTCAGCGTCTTCGAGACAGCATGGAAAGGATGGCAACACGGCATCAAGTTATCTTCCCTCAAAACGAGATAAGAAACGTCGTGATTTGGAATTGATTGCACAGAGGGACATGAAACGGCACAAGTGGCAGGTTGAAGCCGAAGCGCGAATCCGAGCGGCTTCTCAGTTGGGAGAACAATGGGACGACTTCCTATGGCTATCCTCTCCCTCTCCCTCAGCCGCAGAAAGGTCACACCGTTCCAACAAACGTTTGGTTAATGATTATGATTGCTTGCTCATGAAGTTTGACATATTTGACTTCATTTGGGGCAACATGTCAGTTCACGGACAGAGTTGACGATGCCTATCGAAAAGCTGGAAAACCTCCGATGGAAAGTGCCACACCTCGGAAATCCGGATAGTAGCATTAGAACTTTTGCAATGACATGCTACGGGACGGTCTTCAACGGATACCGAGATATGCAGGACCGAGTGCGAACGGTTTGTGAAACAGACGGGATGGCCTGTACGGTCCCAGACCTTCCTACTGTTCCAGAATTCTGGCAGGGTATTCTAGACGGAAGAAAATATTTGATAAGCTTCTTTGGACGTTCAAGGACTCCCACAAGAGAGATGTTAGAGCCAGTGTTACCGATTGGGTCGTTGAAGTGCTCATGCCTATCACTCAGTTTACAAAGTTCAAAGAAGCGATGGACCGAAAGGTGGAAAAAGGATTGCAAGAAAAGATGGCTCCCACGGGCAGACGCGACTCGAAGACCACTTCATCGCCCCCAAAAGAAGTCGCCCGCCAGGAACAAGAAGTCGCCCGCCAGGACCAAGAAGTCGAAGAAGAAGTCTCCTCCAGTCACGCAGAAGAAGCAACAGCAAGAGAAGAGGAAGTCAAACACAGCCTCCCCTCCCTTAGCCTCTCCTGCCTAAGGAAGAAGCAGAAGCGTGGTGGCAATAAGATGCGACAGACAAAACTCCACGAAACCCTTCCCTTCCATGGAAGACCCGATTCGGATCTCCAAACGGCAAAGCAGCTACGAACGGCAAAGCAGCTACAAATGCAGCTACAAATGGTACGAACTCAAATGGCAAAGCAAATCAAAGCAAAGAAGCAACAGTACCAGCGCCAGCAGCAAAGCAACAGCAGCAGCAGCAGCAGCAGCAACAGCCGACACGACAGCAGCCGATAATCCATCCGCCGATACGAGCCAGAACACGAAAGCAGCAGCCGACAATCCATCCGCCGACAATCCATCCGCCGACACAGCCGACAAAGACACAGCCGACAAAGACACTGCCAACAAAGACACAGCCGACAACAAAGCAGCGTACCCATCCTGCAACCCAACGTTGGTCCCAACGTTCGTCCCACGACTAAACCAGGAGGAATCTGAAGCTGCTTCCGATTTGTTGAGCTTAGCACAGGTGGAAACAGCAAAGTCGGACAAGAAAACACCAGCGTTACAATCAACACCACAATCAACACCAGTGGACAACGCAACACCAGACAAGAAGGCGCAAGCGGCTCCTTACAAGAGAGCAGCACGGTATATGAAGTTGCCTACGAGAAAGGCTGTTGCTGCTTGCCGCTGCCGCTGCTGTACTTGGCACCGCAAACCACAATCTTCCCGTAGTCTCTCCGGAAAAACGTGGTGAATCGGAAACGCTTGTATCGGATTCGGAATCCACATCATTGGGATCCACATCCACTGCTTCGAATGGTACTGGTACTGTTGATGCTTCTGACGAGGACAGCAAGGAGGAGACAGCGGCCAAGGGCAACCAGGAGGAGACAGCTGTCCAAGAAGCGGCCACGACTCTTACTTCATATCCCAAACCTAGCAAGGTTGACAACCTACTTTTGCCACGGATTCTGCAGGAGCACCTGGATGGTACTGAGGTCGAGATCAAGAAAGAGTTCTGTGAACAATCGCCTGAACACTTCGAGGCTTTGATTGACAATGCCGATCCAGGATTGTCACCGATTCTTTTGGAAGCCTTCAAGAGAGCTTGCCTACAGGCTGGTAACAACAATCAGATACTCTATCTATCTGCCCTTCGCGGCGCAACTCGTGATTCAGCGGCAGAAATATGGGAGCACCACACGGGAAAAGCAGAGCTCATCTCGATCCTCCCCAGAGGTCGCACGAAAATCGTGTTGGGGCATACTCATACATGCAGCCCAGCGTTCACTTCATGTCCATGGCTAGGGACATCGTCTACGTGATGGAGACGTTCCTGCACACTTGCGACTTCTTTGGTGTGCACTCATGAGACTGTACTGGAGCACTTCCTTCTAGAGGGCATTGGATTAAGCCAATCGACGGTTGTTGACCCAACACGAGAGTCTTGGCGATGCTGTACTGCCTTGTGATCAGTGCTGCCAGCACCGACTTCTTTGCAATCAAGTGCGCCATAGATTTGTTCGTGATGGGTTATGGCAATCTTGATGCAATGATTAAGGCACCAGTCGAAACGATCCTAAATATCATCAGGGGGGCAGGCATACACAAGAAGAAAGCAGTTATCTTAAGAAGATAGCAGATCTTGAAGACCAAACACAATGGACGCGTCCCTTGTGATCTGTTCGCCTTGATGGAATTGCCTGGTGTGAAGAGAAAGACTGCTGTTCTCCTCATGAACGAAGGATTCGGTCTGTCCATAGGTATTGGCACCGACAAACATGTTTGCCATGTGGCTTATGCAGTTGGCCTATATAGCCTGCCCAGCAATCTGGTCAATCTGTATCCTGAGCATGTCGAGTCCAGCATCCGAACATGGCTTCCTCAACACAAGTACCGTACCATGAATTGCACCCTTGGTTGCATGGCCCAGTTGTTCACGCAAGATATCCGATCGATCAATAGGGCAACCCACGAGACGACATACTCCAAGTTGGAAAAGTCAATGAAGCCATCGCCTATTGCTTTAACGACTGCTACAGAATGGACTAATGTGGTTCTTGATTGCAAGGATCCGGAGGCACTACATAGTCAATGAGTGCATCATCACCGAGTTATACAAAGACAGGAACGTGGATGGAATGGACTGCCCTTTTGGAACGGAGGTCCTTCCACTGGAAACCCACCTCGTGGTTGGTAAGGGTGCTGGCACTGCTGACAAAGAAGATCATCCTGGCTACGAACAAGAAGAAGATGACGATGACCAGATGACACTCCTACAACCAAACAGAGGATGATGATGAGACCACCAAGCAAAGGAAAAGAAAGAAAGAAGATAAAAACGATCCAGACTATGTGGATGATATGGATGGGGAATAGGTGGGCTGGTCCATCTGTTTTGTTCATCCCAGCCTATTTGGATATGTGGAGTACGTGGGAGTGGGAATGGGAGTGGGAATAGGTGCGCCATAGGTGCACTTGTCCATCCCTTTGTTCGTCCCACTGTTCGTCCCACGAATGTCGTTCTAGTAGTACTCTAGTAGTAGTAGTCTCATAAACTAAACTTAAAAGTGTGGTTAAAAGAATTTGGTTGTTGTAGTTGTAGTTGTAGTTGTAGTGCTCCAGCCGTGCCAGTGGATGACTAGGTAGTACTTTCTGACTAAACATTACTAACTTGACACTGAGTATTTAATGTTTATGCAGAACCTAACCTAGGTCTTTCGCGGGTTGGTTGGTGGTTGGCTTGGTTCACTGCTGGCTGCTACCCTACTACCTAGGTAGAGACCTAGTCAATCTAGGTCTAACTGGAGCTGTCGCCTTCTCCGCCTGCTTTTCCTTCTCCGCCTGCTTTTTCTGCTCCTCCGTCCACTTCTTCTTCTTGTTGGCCTTGTTTTCCTTACGTTTGGCTGCCCTTTTGTGCCCTTTTTCATTCCGCCCTTTGGCGCCTGGTACGAGTGCCTTGAAATGGTCGAACAGCGCTTTCATAACTTTGCTTCCGGGCTGTGCTGCAGATTTGCCTTGGGGAATCCTACCACTAAATTTCTCTTCGATAAGGTTGGTCAGAGCCCGGATGGCTTCCATCGTAGCCTCCTCATGTTTGTCCTCCTCCTGCATCTGCCTGCCATCCTCTTGGTCCTGGTCCTCCTGCCCGCCAAATGCATTCAGAAACTCATTCATTTCTGGCACAGCATTGGGTAATAGGGCGGTGTCAGTGTTGGGTAGGGCGGTACGATCAGCATCATTATCATCAGTGGTGGCAAAGAAAGTATCCACATGATGGTAGAGTGGCTTCCTTTTGCACCATCCAGCCCGTTTTGCTGCAGAATTCCTCCAGCTATGCCAATTCTTTCTTCTCTTTTTAACATTCGGGACATCGGCGCCGTAATGAGCTTCCAGGTGCTTCAATGCTGGCTTTCCTGGGAGTCCCTCTGTATACTCCCTCACCAAAGCCTCAATGGTCAGAGGTAGATCTGCCGTGAACTCCACAGCCCCTGCCCAGTCTGGTGTTCCGTCGTTTGGCCAAGTTCCTGGATCCTTCTGCTAACGTGGGGAAATACTACTTGAATAGAGGGATCTTGTAGAGGTAGCTACCACCCAACGAGATCAACTGCAACTATTCAAGACGAGTGCAAGGTAAATGCAAAGTTCGCTTCTTAGTAATTCATAATCTGTGTTGTGAGCTTTGATTGATGCGATCAGTAAAGCTAGTTGGTAGCGTGTTGGATCAATGCATCGTGGTAGTTGATCTTGGTTCATACGGAAGTCAACGTGGTATCTGCGGGAAACGGTTCGTTGGCAGGATGCTTTACTCCTGTCGAATACTCCAATTTACCGTGTCCTTTGGTTTCGTTGAGAACGTGTTCTTGCCAGCGTTCTCTGTTCCATCGTGTTGACTCATAAAACATGACTCAATCTACTCACGGATACTCTGAGTCGTGGGAGGAACTGTAACGCTTTCACTCCCCTCAGTGGCGACTGTCGACTCTGAGTGTTTCTTACCGCAATCCTTGGTATCTCCTGACCAAAACAGTAGTGCATTCAGCATAGGCCATACCGATGTATAGTCCCAGTGTTTGCTGAGGATATCTGCAGGGTTAGTAGATCCAGGGATATGATGAAATCTCAAGATACTTGCAGCAACAGCTTCCCTAGTACGGTGGTAGGAAAGCGCATTGTGTCTTTTGAGAATCTTTGAGTGTGGCATCGAGGCGGTGTTGACTACCGTCTCGTTGTCTCCGAACATCATGGTCGGTGTGTCGACCAGTACTCCTAGGTACCTGAACGTGCTCCGTAGGTCAATGATCTGTTCAGTGGCGGTACGGGCTGCAACATATTCAGATCCGAACGTTGCGGTCTCGACTGTTGACTGTAGCTTGCTGAACCAGTCGATGGGAGTCTTGTTCGCTAGGTGTAGGACTCCGGTAACTGACCGTCCACTGATGAAGATCGTGATAGAGGTTCGCATCCACATATGTGGTGAGAATGACCCGTTTGCCTCGAGGTACCGGTGCGTTATGCGGCTGAACTTCTTTGACACCATGGTAGCATGAGTACTCCATTCGTACTCTTTCTTTGGAATCTCTGATTAATCCGGTTCCTCCTTTCGGATACGTTTGATGCCGTGTCGCATCTTGGAAAGGTACCAACAGATTCTCTTGACTCGATCTAAGTGACCCATTCTTAGTGCTGCCCGAAATCTGGTCATCGTCATGGTGGCCTTTGCGATATCGAACCTTCCATTTTGGATTGCCCATTGTAGATTACCGATGAGTGACTGATAAATCTTTTGTGTGTCCATATCGAGTAGCTTGTTTGTGTAGTCTTGGATGGTCTCCTTTTGATGATGGGAGATGGAGGCTTGTTTTGGGCATGTTATCTCTCTCTTTATTTCCA